AGTTAAACATGAAAAAGTGAATAATATATTTATTAACAAAACATTATAAAATGAGTTGTAAAGAGATTAAATTATTACATCAAACTAAATAATTTTTATTAAGTATGCTTACATATTAGGATGAAACTGTATTTGTACATAACACGAAAAGAGAAGTTATAGGTAGGTACTTATGATTATGATTATTATTTTAATAAGTTGAACTTTGTTCGTGTAATTATATCATACACGAACCGTGCAGTTGACATTGCATAAGATATTGTCTAAATATGTTATTAACTTAATAGGACAAATCAGAGTATACTTAATACATACAAAAGGTAAATCCACAAGCGTATTCATATAAAAAATGTCCCAATATACGATATCGCATATGTGATACAAATAATATCTACTTCATTATAACACAAATCGCTAGGCAAAAAATAACTAACAATTCATTTTTTTAACTTACAGATGTGTTATATTATTATTAATAGAAGAAAAAAATTCAAGCCTATTTTAAACTCTTCTATTTCGTTTAATAAATCGTAAATCACGATAAACTGCTCATAGACAACTTACTACCTATAATATACACTATATATACCTTATAAAGTTATAAATAATTTTCGGTCCAGTCCAATTCGATGTATACGAGTATAACTAAATAATTACACTATTTATCTGTACCTGATATATACTCGTAATATACATGATACGCTCGCAGCTCACGTCTAATCGACTTAGGCGTTATTGAGATTCGCGGTCTGCTAATTGTTATTATAAACACCAACACCAAACAGCAACAAGTGCTGTAATATGTATACACTGCAATCGACGACGACGATGACAAACCGCCCACAATCTACCACTTGCGAGACCGACCCGTGTCTATAGTATAATAATCAATATACCTTATTTGCAAAGATCCTCAGCGACTAAACGATGTTTGAGAATAAACGATTTATTGTAACTATTACTGACCGCGCGATCTTTGTGCAGGCTAAATAAATTTTATGTGAAAAATATATTCACCATTGCAAGATTTTGACGAAATTGGATTTAGAACACCACAGAACTTCGTGGTTGGATTTTGTATGGATGTCGGATGACAATATATTGAGACGTCAGCGCTTTAAATTTGACTGTTTTCTATACCTGAATCAAGAAAAGTTGACTGAGACCATGTCCCTAATAGGTAAATAAATTATACTATGAATTTATGGGGGGAAGTATTAGAAAATTCACAGAGAGTTAAATGATAAAAATACACAGTACAATGTAGTATTCAAAGCTAAACTCGCTGCAATAAACTTAACCACTGAGATCTTATCAATTTAACCTCGATGCACTTCGATGTGAATCAATATCCACGTGTTGTGTACAGTTGAGATGTAAAGCGACCGTACCAGAGCTTCGGATTTCATACACAACTCATGCAGGTATTTATAATTTGCTTGATATCTACCATCGGGATATGTGCAGTTATGGTGGTGACGGAATGTACTTATGATTTGTTTACGAATGTTTTTTATTTTATTTTTTAAGCTGATCAAACATATCAAACATCAAATACCATGTATCATATTCGTTGAACAAAATATTAAATTGACTGTAAATCGAGTACAAATAGGTATTTTGGAGAAGTAATTTCATCATTTTCTGTTATAGTCATATAAATTTCTAGGAAAAAATATAACAGCAACTACTAGTTTTTAATAAAAACCCTATTAATTTTTGGATACATGTAGTATATTTAAGTACCTTATGTTTAAAAAAACAATCATATACTAATCACCTTAAATCAATCTGATTTTCAAAATAAATTGTTACCTTCTGTATGGCCGTTGTAATGAATCCATTATACTACGAAGCGCGAAGATGTTATATGTATATGATAATAAACATCATATACTCGTATAGCTGAATTTCACTTATGTATTAATAATAAGAACATAATATAATATGATAATATCGTTATACATAATAATCCATTTAGTAAGTACATAGAATAGAATATATTGTATAATTTATGACTATATTATTATATAGACAAAACAATATAATGTAGTCAGCTAGCCATTGAAAAAATGCGACTAATACGATGCAAAAACGCTGATGTCGAAAAACTGAAGAGTAATCGACACTTATATTATGTGCATTACAATATACACGTGCCTACAATAATTATTATCAGAAAATTGAATTTTCAACGAGCCCTCATCGCTTGAAGTATACCTAAATGCGAGTCTCTATTATGAAGCGCGGAGTTCGGTGTTTTAATAATTTTAAAATAATAGGGTGAGTTCGGTCTCTGAACATAAGACCTTTACACAATGCATCTATTACATGGTTGGTAATGTTGTTATATTATTATAATTTGTAATATTACTGTTGACTGCTGTCAATATTTGTTGGGATCGTTCAGTCGATTCAATAATTGATGACAAAATGATCCGATCTCCAATAAGTACGCATCGTTTTTAGAAGAATTGATATCTTAACAAATAAAATGGTTAAAAGCGTACATTTCATTACAAAATAATATTATATTATATAGGTATATCGAAAATTCCTGGGTGAACAAGTCGTGAACCAGATAAAAAGCCATAACATACTTCACACTGATATAGTAATTTATAAGTATACAAACATCATGTTATGTACATCGCGGAAGGTTTGACGTTGATGTTTTTTGCCTACACAATACTCTTGAAGTCTTGCGGAAATTATATATATATATATATAACTCTGCTGGTATAGATGGAACAACATTATCACAAAGTACATATATACATATACCAAGACCGATGATGATTTAAAATTCCTACCGAGAGACGTTCACGCCGACTTTTACGGTGGCGGGGTAGTTTAATTTTGTCGGTTGTTTTTAAGGGACTCCCCCGGGAAAAGGCTGTTACTATGTATAAATATATATATACGCATAAAGGAATATCGCCATTTTCCGAATGAACCCAAGTCCCCGCCGGACTGACAAAATCGTTAAGGATATATTATATGCAAACGACGCGTAACTCGATACGAGATATAAATCCTCTCATACCTATATATTATTATTAGTGGTGGTGTTGGAGGACGAGGATGAGAAGTGGGTGAAGTACAGCGTGTATGGTGTATTACAAAGCATGTGATTTTACGGGTAATACGTTTTGGTTTTACTCTCTAGAATGGCTGTCTTAACGCACGAAAGCAAACAACGCGGTTTACGGTTGTGGCAAAAATCGACACGAAAAAAAACTATTAATTTTGAGTTAAAATTATATTTTTGTGATTTATACATAGACGTTATACATATATATTGCTATAAATATATTTTGAGGTATTTTTAAGTTTAGAGCTAATAAGAGACGTTTTGTACAAAAGTACGACTTAATTATTTTTTTTTTATCTTTATTTAAAATATTAATATCGTACGTAATGTATTTATTTTTTAATAGAACTTCCATTGATCTATATTATTTAACATTCGATTTCAGTAAACCATATGATTTATACGGGGTTATAGTTGGTAGTATAAACTTTAAAATAGGAAATCAGTTGTTTAAAAGTAACACAATACACGAATTTACACCAAAAATAAAAATGGACATTGTAATATTATTTGTGTATTTTGAGATATCATTAATTTATCTCAATTCAAAATTATTGCAAGTGATAAATGATAATAATTTATCAAATGGTGATAACAATTTTTCGAGGATGATATTAGTAATATTTTCAATATTTTGTCAAATTAGTTTCTACCTATACAAAAATAAATCTATTAAAAATACAAAATACTATGAAAAAAATGTAACTCTCAATGTCAAGGGTTATCTATTTTTGAAGAAAAAATGTAAAATAAAATAAATCTATAAAATTATTTTTAACAACGATCCGAAGATTGAATTTATTTCTTAGCTTACAAACTACTTAGAATACCGTTCTTTCGACTAGTCTAACTTGTTTTACAACTATTTTCGATGGAAATCAATAGCAACAAAAATTTCAAAAAAAAAAAAATTGTATGGATACAAAATAAAAAAAAATATGTGACCAAAGCTACTGCATACAAATATGACGTAGGTAAGATGTGTATGTTGTTTTTGTTATCGTATATTTGCAATCGATATGACAATAAGAGCAAATAATCACTTCAAATCTCGATAAAAATATGCATTTAAGTAAGTATGTATTCACTAACAATTGTTTGATTGTATATTGAATGGCATAATGGTGTATTTTATTCTAATGCATTAGAAAAAAAACTATATGGTTCACTATAATAGTCAAAACAATTAGGTTTAAAACATTTTTTAGAAATGCAGAGGTTTTAATTATTATTTTTTTTTATCGATTATACACAGGTTTAGCTTACATATTACCGACTGTGAGAATATATTTTGTAAATAACATGCTAAGAAATCCTTATCGACGTAATAAAATGATTGTAATGCACATAATAGCGATGGCGATGTCGTTTATACGGTATTCACAGAGATGTACACTAAAATTTCACGAGAAAAAAAATATAATAAATGCACGTCAAACAAAAAATAAAACTAGTACGTAATAATATTACAGTATAGCTTAAGAAATTGTACAACTCGTGTTGAATTTGTATTTTAGTTTTTTTATCATAGAGAGGAGCACGTTTGTACAATGCTTAATATAATAATAATAATAATAATAATAATAATATGACCTACCTATATACGGTGACAAATAAATAGCGCCAACGTCTCATAGCATGTTGTCGGTGTGAGGTATAATAGTCACAATAATTGTGTTAATACGTATTTAAGTATCGCAATACACAATTCATCAAGTTTTAAAAGGGATTTCGCGGAATAATGGAGTATTGGATTAGTCACGCGTTTTGTATTGGTTAATTTATAAATATACAAAAGATCGCTATATAGGGCCAACACAAGGGACTATACCACGATAAAATTAAATAAAAATCGATTTAAAGCACGCACAGAAAATTTATTACCGAGATCATGGTTAAAACTTACCCTGCAACGGTAGTAGATGAGACCGGACAGGAAACTGGCAGGTCATGGCACGGGGACACGCGACTGCCGCCGCCGTGGTGGTGGTCGGTCGGTCTGTCTGTCGGTCGGTCGGAGGTGCGCCTTACGACACGCGTCGGTCGGTCGGTCGGTCGTCACCGAAAATCGTGGGCCGCCGCAACCGTCAACACCTCCGCCGCGGTTTTCGATAATCGGTCAGCGGTCAAAAAATTAAGTTTAAAAAAATAAAAAAAAAAAGAAATACGGAAATCGCTGGGCGAACGAAACGCTCTCGGCGCGGGTATAATATAGGTATCGAAAACGCCAAATCTTACCGGGAGACGCACTGTGGGCACACGTGAAAACGACGGCTAGTAAAATAAAATTTAATATCTTTGAAAAAAAATTTGAAATAGGTAAAAATATTATTATCGACGGCGACTACGTACCTCTATTGCACTATCTATGACTATATTAATTATTAAATGGGTACACACAATTTTACAATATTATATAGACACATACGCGATCGCGCGCGCACTGCACACAAACGACATGCACACACTCGCGCGCGCGTGCGAAGAGCTGACCGAAAAGAATAATAATGATAATAGTAATAGTAATATTTGCGAACTGGTTGTACTTGCGTTGCATCGAAACGCAAACTGTCATGTAGACGGTGTTTATTTTTTTTTCGTCGGTGCAACGAATCTTGAACCAGTTCCTCTCGCAGATCGCGCGCGCGCCACTCCTCCCCGGGCGGCCACAGGCCGGACGGTCGGTCGGTCTCACTCCCAATAATAATAATAATAATAATAATATTATAATATATTATAACTGAAGCGCGCACACATGCACACACGTAAGACTATACTTATATATTTTATTTATACATACACTCACGGACGCAGACTCCCGAGCGCGAGAGAGGACCCGACTTAACCACGGCCGGGAGATTATATTTTTCCTCTCTCTCTCTTTCCACCTATTCTCTTACTTTATAACGTATATACTATTGTTCCGAATATTTAGCTTTTTCGCAAATTTCTCGTCGTTGCACCCCTCTGCCTGACGTATTTCGATAAGTGTATTACACGACGACCGTACAAATCTCACCTCCCCACCATTGATATTTCCTTTTTTTTTCTTTTAGTTTTTTTTTTTTTTTTTTCTAAAAAGAATCTTGTAAATTCTTTTTGTATACATACGCACATCCAGTACAACAGTCCGTATAGATATACTTTAAGTAACAATATATCATCGTTGAGTACGTAAAATTGTTTTTTAAACCGAAATTTATCAAACCTTTTCATATAATAATATTGTATGTTATTGAAAAAAAATATATCTATTATAATATCTTTCACCTTGGTCATTTCGGAGGGTCCGCTTATTATACTTATAGATATGTTATTCTTACACAAATGATTAAACCAAGAAATATTGTATTCTGAATTATTGACCAAAATTAATTTTTGAATACCACAAATGAATACAGAACTACTAATAATACTTCTTTTTGGAAACGGTTGTAAAAAAATATTTTTTAAACCAGTGTTTCCCAATCATTTATCACCACGGCACCACGGACCATAACGTAAACATATTAAAATTTTAACTGTACTCTCTAACTCCTAAAAGCTAATAATTTAATTAATAAAATAAATAAATTATATACTAAATTTATTATTACTATTAATATTCAAATGTTAAACATAATGTGCGATACTATACCTATTCGTGCAGCCCACGATAATAATAATAGAAAAATAGTAATAACTCATATTAGAAGTTATATTATATTATACATTAAAAATTTAAATGACTAGTAAAAATATTAAATCTTGACAAATTTCTGAACAGTATTATAAATTATTATATATATTGAAAAACACGATGTAAGAAAAGAAAACTAACAAATGTTGGTATACTTAAATTATTTATAATAATTTAGAATAAACCGTATAGATAACTGTACTGCTCGAGGTTGTTATTAAAATGCCGCGGCACAGTACGTGTAAATAACATTATATTATATATTATATATTATACAATTATTTTGTTTCGTATGCAAACAAGTAACCCTTAGTTTAAAGCCCTTATACCTAACCTTTGATTAATAAATAAATTAATATTTTTAGAAAAAGTAAAAGTTTTTCTAATTAAAATTGATTAGAATTGGTCGTGATTTAGGAATGATTTAATGGTCAATGATATTAATTTCATGTTTTTTAAGTTTTACTATTTATGTTGAAGGTTATTATAAAAATTATTATACAAAGATATTTTCCTATGATTTTATTTAAACCATTGCCAATATTAAGCCCGCTCTAATTATATTAATACAATTCAAAATATAAATGAACAATACCATTTTTTTGTACCTAGCAGCCCAATAGTATACAGTTGTCCCGTCTTATATGTACCACAAAATATCTCAGTCATAGATTGAAATGTGGTTTACTATGATAATTAGGATGTGCCAAATTACATATTTAGTGGACTTTTCTTATTTTTAACTTTCAGTATGTGCCCATGCGCAATACCACTTTGCTTTTCTTAAATAGCTATTTTTTCATCATTTTTGGATAGGTTTTTTTGGGCTATAAATAATTTTTATCCATCGACCATCAACCATGATCTTAAACTTAAGATTGACAGAGGTACTACTATTTTACGTTTAAAAATAGTTCGATATTTTCGAGTTTAACATATCCATATTCAGTGATATTATATGACTTCGGGTAAAGTGTGAAATTTCCTGGTTTCCTGGAAGTGTGTATCTGGATATTCTCTAGGGCCCTAGTTATAACAACAAACCGTAATTCAAGGATCTTGAGTTGAGGAATATTTAAAAGTAGATACCTACCAGCTACCATACATGTATAAGACACCTAGACATACTGTGTATTATAATAAATAATTATGGATGTATTATGTATTATTTTATGTTGTTTACTGTACCTCAGAGAAAATCGTGAAACTTAAATGCTGTAGTTAACAACAATGTGCTTTTATAACATTAAAAATATTAGTTTTGTGGCGCAATAGCAACTGAGGTGACAAAAAAAACGCCTATTTAACACAAACCATTCCAAATGTAGAGACAACCCCTTTACAAAAGGTAAATCCAAACCTTCTTATTACACAATCGCGACAAACGAACATAAAAATTATGAAATACATTACATGTATTTTAATAATATAATTATTATTCTAACTATTAAAATTATTATGCGACGATTTTTAAAGAGACCACTCATAAATGCATATAGGCCTACGGGATATTTACTTTAACTTCCGTAGAATTTTCATTACTAGGCTGCCAGAAAAAAAGTGAATATACGCACCCGCAATATAATTGCCATTATATTATAATTAATCGTATAAATTACGATAAGCCCACACTATTTTATTAATCGTTTAACTTGTGTGGTTTCTATTGTAATTTCTGAAAAATAATTCTATTATTTCTACACAATAAAATGTTATTTTTCATTTTTCACTGTCGTCCAATATCTATTATATTGACCGTTAGCGTAACATAATGAATTATGATTAATATGTTTAAATTTTAATCTATATTGATTAGTTATTAGTTTTATGAATTAATGGTGAAGTCGAATACAATTTATTATTAACCCGAAAATAAACTGTTAATACTACGTTATTATGTATATGATTTTACTGTATGTAACATAATATGACAAATTATAGATTATATAACAATAGAAATTGTTAAATTTGGTATTGAAATTTTATGAAGTAAAACGTGTTTGTTAATTCATAAGGACAACAAATCCAATAACGCAAAAACATACTGCTCATAATGATTTTACAAGCGTTACATGTTTAATCTAAACTGGGCTCAATGTCTGTCTGATATATTAATAAACGGAGCATCGTCAACGGTTTAAAAATATAGCAAAATTCTTTTAAGAATAAATTAAAGATAATTCCATAAAATCTCTATTACGGTCGGTATGTATAAACTACTCGCATGGGAAATCGTTTCACGATTTATAGTTTTCTCGAAAAAACATAATTTTAGCGAGCTTAACAGTCTTCTCTTTATAATTGTTTTCGTAGAACAAATTGCCACCATATCATCTACATAATATTATGCATATGAATATAATATAATACTCGTAATACACATATATAACACAAATTAATTGTTCAAATAATTTATAGCATTAACTTGTGGTTACGCATGCAGTTAAAGCCCGGGAGTGTTGATGAAATGATGATAAATACAACGCTGAACATTGTAACAATTTTATAATATTGTACCGTCGCATAACAACAACTGTAAAAAATTTTGTCGTAATAATTTCCGACAAAATGTTAAATGTAAATAGTGTAAATTATTAAAAACTAAAATTTTCTAACATAACAGTATATTCAACTTTATCATATTCTTGATTTTCAATCCAATATGATACTCTCAACTTTCGTTTTACTATTTTTTTTCTATAGAAACCGTTAAAATAAATAAATAATTTATTATTTTTAAAAAAATGTATACATTTTAATATGAATTGAATGCGGATAAATCAGTAAACAATAGTTGCTGAAAATTCAAATTAAGTAAATTCAAATTTTAAATATGTCTAAAAATGCTATAATTCATTTTATTCTCTATGGTGGAACTTGATATCAATATTATATTTCACATACTACGCAATTGTAACAATTTATAAATAATAGGTACCATTAATTTCATTGTGATATCGAATTTAATGAAAATGAATTAGTTTAAAAGACAATACACCTCTAGCACTAAGAAAAAAATTATACACGAAGACTCGTTGCTCTCCAAATAAATGAGAAAATAAAATGCAATGTACTTAATAAAAACTCGTTAATTTGAAAATAGAAATATTTAAATAATTTTAAATAGGTAATATCAATATTTCATTTGTCAAACATAATTTGAACAAATGCCAAATAGAACTATAATCCATTCGTAAAATTAAATTGCACTCAAGAAATGTTGTAAATATTTTTTATTTTTTAAATAGATTTATTATGGTTTTATAAACAAGTTTAAATTTATTTTCGAATTTTTTAAAAGATTTCGTTTTTGAATATTATTTTTAAATCTCCTCACGCAATCTACACGTTATAGAACTTGTTTGTGAAAGAGAGAAAAAGTTGCTTTTGGAATTGATCAAAGATTTAGTTAAAACGTTTGTAACACTGTTTAAATTAATTAATAGTGATTATACAACACACTACTTTGACAATAAAAATAAAAGTAATAAGTATCGGAGAGAGAAGACCAAGGTAAATCCAAAATATGTTTACTGGTCCCGTTTAACAAGTAGCAAGCGAAAAATAATTAAAAGAAAATAATCCATATCAATAAATAATAATCAATGGAATGTGTACATGATTGCGATACTACTGGTATTTGTTAAAACGCGGGTATGTAAATAATTTAATTTTTCATCGAGTAAGAATAGGTACGTTGTTATATTTTTAGAATACGTGTACATTGGACAGAATACATTCCACAAATAGCGGCGAATGTTATTTTAAATGAAAACGTATTAAATATATTATGCAACGCAACGACCAACGGAAGAAAAGTGAAACAATTATTATAACCGTATAA